AAGAAAATTAACTCTATCCCAGCCGAAACCAGGACATTTATGAAAAAAAATTATTCTAAATTGATAATATGCTTTCATTTCAAAACTAAATATATCCCCACACATTTCCTTACTAAGCTATGTTAGCTACTTTACACACATAAGTAAAATCACAGAATTTTAAGAGGTGCTTCTGCATGAGCGGGACATATGTTCCTTTTCATCTCTTAGACAACCTTAGAAATTTTTTAATTCAATCAGGTTACTGACATCCTGAATAGGAAAAATGGGCAAGAAGACACAAACATGTTATAAGAGTGTCACCTACTGGCAAAATCTATTTCTGCACAATTTCTTGAGTTCATAGAAAATGCACTTATTTTACCCAGTGCAATATCTGAAGTTTCATGATCCTACACAAGATGCAATAGGTCATGAAAAACAACAGCCACAATTAAAATTAGCTTTTTTCTTAAATTTAAGAAAAAAAAGTAGTGCATTAGAATTCTTTCTGGAGTCTCTTTTTTTTTTTCTAGAACAGTACTAAGTGCAGTTATAATAACATTGACAAAGAACATAATTAAAAGGCTCATCCAAAAAAATAAATCTAAGTTTAATAGTAGAGGAAGACGAGGAATATGGAAAACAAATAACTCTTTTGCCATCCAGTGAATCCAGTTCATTAGCAGTTCACAGACTACGCAGTTTCCCTTTAAAGGGGTTATTTTAAAATTATCATTTGCAACAGAAAACTCATACTAAGCACTACTCTCAAGCAAATGCATTACTTTTCTGAATAGCTATCTTCCGGCAAAGAACAGTAACAATTTACCTATCATTATTATCCAAAAGGATAGAAAGAAAAGCAGAAAGCTTAAGAATTTATAATGGGACCTGCAAATAATCAATGAAGATGAGATCAAGAACTTGAGTAACTGTGATCAGTGCTCATGTACCTCCCTCATTTTTCCTACTGAAATCAAACCTGTGCTAAAGAGGAATTGAAGCCAAAATCTTAAGGTGGTATTTTGATAGTGTAAATGGTATGGATCTGGTGAATACAGATAACTCCCATATCAGAGTTTTGGGGTTTTTGGGTTTTTTGGGGTTTTTTTTTTTCCTGTTGTTGTTGGTTGTTTTTTTTTTTTTCTTCAGAGTACACATTTTTAATTTAAGCCTAAATGAAAATATCTACAGGCAACTTCAAATCTCTCAAACACAGCTTATAAATCACAGCTTATTAGTATTTTCGAATTCTAGGTCTCATTTCCTTTAAGTTTACATCACACAGATATTCAGCTTTAGGAATTTCTTTTTCCCCTACAGTATTTTAAAAACACAGCTTGCCTGGTTTACAGTTTTAAGTCATTAACTTCCATTTTTTGTATGCAGACACTGCTATTTTTTCCAAGGTATTTGAAATCTTAACTCTACAACACTTGCAGTCATTTACATGCCAATATAATTGATATCAATATTCCCCAAGACAAGCAATACAGGGTTATACAGGGTTTCCGTCCAATATAAAGGTACTCATGGGTGCTTTTGCAGAACCCGGATTGAGCAACATTGTTGTAATGATAGTAGAAATAAATGAACAGCTAAAATGAAATAGTTATTCAGCACCGCAGGCAACTCTCTACCTTTGCACATTCAGTTGTGCATTCATTACTATTCAAAACAGAACAAGTCACAATTGTCTCATCACATAAAAACCTTTTACGATGCTCAAAACTTTTTACTAATGCAGACAATGCTCTTCCGTAGCACAATAACTTGTGTTATTTTAATTGAGACACAGTTGTCAGTAATACAGTTTCTCATTATTTCAGCCACCTATTTCCTTTGGAAGCCTAATTCTGAGTTACATGATTACTTGACAATCTTAAGGTTTATTCCTAATAAAAAATGTTCAAATTTCCATAGATGCAGACAAAAGGAGAGCAAAGTAGACCAAGATATTTTATATGTACTTTAGAAGAAACTATCAACTTTGGTGAGTACAGTTCTGAGCATTTGAATGCTTAGCAAATTAGGAAGGGATATAACTAGCTGCATATTTTACAGTTGCCCCTGAGTTCCCCTGCCAAACTACATATTTGAACTTTTGTCTTTTTTCCTTTTTCTTAAAAAATAAAAGGAAATAGAACTACTGCCTCACCAGTGCCTTTCTTCTCCCTCTTCAGTTTCCAAAGAAGCAGGAACCAAAGAAAACTACACTGCTTTGGTCCTAAGTTAGCACCCAGTTAAACCACACAGTGGCATCACGAGATATTATCAGTGCTGATATGGTGTTTCCAATTAACTTTCTTGGATGATGAAACATCTACATCAGTTCCGTAGTTCACAAGCTTCACTAATCTGCTTCTCTTCCAACTGTTTTTATTGATTTGTTATTATACAGAATATCTAAACAGTTTTTAGCACAAGATGGACTCTGCTAAGACAGATTATTTAGCAGTTATAATTATTGATAGTGCAAATTTCCCCCTTGGAATGGTTTACAGCTGTTTCTTCCCCAGAACTGAGATGTCAAAGACTGGCTTAAGATGCTGAAATATGAGTGGTAATAACCAATTTCAGAACCTTAATGTAGCTCAGAACAAAAGAATATCCATTATACATACTGCAAGCATACTGCTTCAATTGTAAACACTGTATTAATCTTCTATGACACATTCACTCCCATTATTTTCTTAATTCTGTGTCCAAGTAATTTTCTCTTTAACATATATACCTTACTTGTCCTTGAATGCAAACAGCAAATCACTCAGTTAATTACTGGAATAAAATTTTGTCCTAGATATATTGTACTAATACACACTACCATTTCTGTAATAGAAGAAACTGCCAGTAGGGCTGTAGCAGACAAGCATCCATGTTCCTGACTTCAGCTTAGTGTGGAGCTCTGCATCAGAGCCAGCTACTGTGAACAACCCTTAGAATAATGGAGAGAAACTGGCAGTTCCAAAGGGTGGCTCGCCCCCTCCTGATGATCTGACTGCATCCTGAAAAGGTACCTGAGGTAACTAGCTGAGATGCAGTCACGAGAAGTTAAATAAAACTGGGACTAAAAAGCCCTAGAAACAAAGATGCCCCAGAATCAGTCTTCTGTACTATCCCTCTTGCTTCCCAAAAAATTTACAGTAAGCTTTCAACATCTTCCACATTTTACAACATATTGCTACTATGAAATTGACCCCTCCAAAGAAAGAGCATGTCTTCACATACATTCAAGAAGGGTGAGGGAAGAGGAGACCTCTTACGATGGCAAACCCACAAATTTGATGCCAAATGCAGTTTACCTTTGTTCACCTGAAGACATTTCCAAATACCACCAAGTTTTAGCAGCAAGTCTCACACTGAAACTCTGAAGGTCTCCAATTTACATTCAAAAGTTCAGATGTGATTATCTTGCCTATGCATATAAAAAACCTTGACAAACAGGTCAAATGCTTTAAAAACCTCCTATTTGCATGTTTCAGACTAGAGTAGATGTGGAAAAATATATTTTACTTACAAACCCCAACAAAACTGTTTTGAAGGAAATTGATACAGAAACAGCAGGTCACTATGAGCAACCCACTTAATTTATCACTAGAACAGATGTTTACATCTTACACCAAAATACTACTTTATTTCGCACATGTAGTTTTCTGTTCTTTTTCATTTTCTTAAAAACCCTTTCTTACTGATCATTTTTAAGTTTTACTACTATGACAATGTAATACCATACTCTCCCAAACTAGGAGATACCTGGAAGAACTCCACTCTCAAATTCTACCACTGTCATGATACAGAGACCCCTGTCATATCTACAGCATTGGAATTTTTCTCAAAAGAAGGACTGAGATGCATGGGGGAAGAGGGATGTAGTGGTTATTTATACCATTATATATAAAGGAAAGAAGAGAATTTTTTGACAGCTTTCCATATAATCCTTGTCCTTTTATATACATTTATATTTTGATAATAGCTTTGTGCTACACTTTCCAGCTTCCCTTTATATTTTGTTCTCTAGTAAAACCAACCTAATCATTATTGTCTACTCCCAGCATCAGTCTACAGCCAAGGAAACTATTAGAAAAATTACAAAAATAAAGCTAAGGCAAACCACAGAAGCAAGCAGGTGAAAGCAAGGGACTATTAAAAGAAAATACCTTTTTAAACAATACTGAATAGGGACAGCAGACACTTCTTCATGTCATACCATGTAAGGATATAGATAGACCTTAACTTACACAGAGGTAACTCCCTTTTTAACAAAAGATGTATGTTCACAAAACATAGGGAGGAAAAAAAAAAAATCCGTACTTACCACAGGGTTTTTTGTGTCTGGGTCAAATTCTGTAGAATTTGCATCTGAAAACAGGAGTTCAAAACAAAGACAGTACATTTCCAGTGTTCTACATGCCCTACAAACTCATCATTAACAATTCTGTGGCATTTTAGGTCTTATCTTCGTTGAAGCTACAATCTTGTATGTTGAAACACATGGTGCACCATTTTGGAAGCAACCACAGGAAGCATATGACCTCAGTCACACACACTCCCTTTCCTACTTTCCAATATCTTTTCCTCTCAGCTCTTACTGGTGGAAATTCATCAGTGAGCTAAATCTCTTCATACTACTACTGCAATGGCTACAGTTTGGCTACTCTAACTAATGAAAGCAAGTGAGAAAACTATTTCTTGCTTTTTACTCCTCATCACCTGCACACTCCAGAAAGAGACTACAGAGGTGAACTGTAAGCACACTTTCTCCTACACTCCTTAAAAGAAGCAGGTTTCAAGCAATCTGCATAATAAGAGTTCCTACTCCCTTGTACAGAAAGGTAGCACAGGGTGCTTAGCTGAAAATGATCATGTTGCAAGAGCTAAGTACCTAATGATCATAGGATCTATACAATAGTTCTAATAAGAGATACACATTTCACATGTAGAATAAAATTTCTTCTAAGCAAATCATATTCACACTAGCATATTGAGCTCACCTTTCCAATTCAAACAGTTTCTTGCAAATTCCACAACTGCTAATTGCATTCCCAGGCAAACTCCTAGAAAACAAAAATCCCAGAATTTAACACTACAAAGAGCAGGACTGACAAAGTACTTGCTGTTCTGTCTTGAACTTGACTGCTTAGCAATCTTGGTACCCAGTGTATATACACAGACCTACCAAAAAGCTAAAACAAAAATGGCTGCTCAGTGTAAAACTCACTCTTCAAACTTGGCACACTGTAAATACATGTGACACAATTATGCACTTTAAGCCCTTTCAAAAAAAATTTTCTTCTCCTCCCATCTATTTTACCAATAAAAAAAATGAAGACAAACAGAAGCTGAAAGCATGTGTATATCCAGATTCAAATTTTGCTTTGGCAACTAGTCAAAGTAGTCACTTACAAAATTGTAAGAAATGTGGAGTAGGAACCAAAGCTTCAGAGGCACTTACGTAAGAGGTGCTTAGCTTATAGGCCACATGGCATCTTTAGACTTTATCATAATAAAATATACCAGTAAATCAACAAAAATTATTTAATATAGCAAATGTGTCCAAAGACACCTATATTTCCTGCACACTGATTAATATCTATAATGGTGCTGATTTAATTACAATGAGAAGCAAAGACTCTCCACATAAAATGTGAATATAGCAAATAAAACCTTTGGAGTAGGGATAGTCTTTTTCTTCCTTCCCTATACAGCAGACATAGTACATGGCTATGACCCTGGGCAGTATTTACAAGGCAAATATTCACAAAAGCACACATACTTCCCTAAGACAGGATCCTTCCCTAGTGTCTTGTTTGTTGGTTTGTTTTTTGTTTTTTTTTTTTAATCAAATCAATTAGCTTGCTATACACCTCCAAAACACGGTAAATTCGGACTCTAATGATCTTACCAAGAAAAGGTTTTTTCTTTGTTCTTGCCCAGGAGATAGCTTGGAGTTTGCCTTCTGTTCCCCTAATTCCAAACCCTCCTGGGACCAGAATGCCACTGTAATGACAGCCATATATAAAGCAACTGACACGTAAAATCAAGCCATCAAAGGAAGTCCATACAAATTGAAGAAAGACTTTTGAGGTTATGACAAAGCAAGCACAATGCACAAAAGGCATGTTTTGTATGACCATTCGGAATACATAGAATTTAACTCTAAATTTGGAGATTTGTTTCATCTACCCACCCCAATTCTCATCTGACCAACCTCGTGCTTCAGTGAAATTCCTACTGCTTAAATACGTATTGCTTCAATAAACTAGCGACATATTCACTACTCTAGGATCTTAACACCAAAACTTTATGTCTACTAAGTAATACTGAAGAAATTAATGCATTTGGACAATAAACATCCCTTTACAAATATAAATTGAAATCCTGGCAATGATTCTTAACAGAGATGTTTGCAGAGTGTCACCAGCATTTACTAAGCTTTTATCTAACTACCTTTCACTATGATGCATGTTGACAAAGAAAAAAAACTCTTTGACAACTGACCTGCACTGTAAAGAAAGTCTAGCTATCCCCCCGCCAAAAAAACCACACATCAACATTTCATCATTCACCAAACAACTGCAACTTGTCTAAAGAGATTAAAGCAGAGTTCAAAAATATAGGTTGATACTATAATTTGCTATGTCTGAAGATTGTCACCAAACATGCACATCTATTCCTCTACATAAGTAACGGAAGTTTGGATGCACTGAGAAATTATTTACTGAAGCATTTTTCATCACATGAAATAAATATCATGGTCTACATTTAGGATACAGAATACCCGATGCCACTTACTCTGCTTTGCACAGTTTGTGCCATGCCTGGTGATATTTCACCGAGTTCTCCACTTCTGTAGAACGTTCAAGTTCTGTTGAATCTATGTACTAATAAAAATATGCAATAAAATAGTCATTTCTTCCACAGAAAGAGCAGCATACACTATATAACCAGCTTTTTAATAGCATTAAGACAAGCCTATTACAGTTTCAAGTGGATTTCCCAGTAAGCCCATAACAACTTCACTGAAGACTGAGTATTTGCTCTGAAGACCCGGTATTTGCAGTAATCCATGCCCCTTTCTTTGCATGTAGCTCCAAAGCTCTGCCTGCCTGCAGTCCTCCAGGTGAGCAGACTTGGTAGAATGCTCCATAGCTGTGTACCCAAGTTTTCCTCCTATGGAAATCAGGGCGCCAATCAAAGGGTGGTGCTGACCTTACTCTGACATCCAAATGAGATGTGGCCAGGGTGCTCACCTTCCTTGCTTCTGGGTGGAACAGTTTATCTAATCTTATCACACACTGGATACACCTGTGTTGTCTTGCCTGTGAGAAAGGAATTCCTGGGGACTGATATGAAAGTATCAACCATAGAGAAGGAGGCAGACTCATTTTCTATGTCCTACTAGAAATGCTGCATTAGAATCTCTACTGCCGTTAATAAGCATGGCTCCCGAGGTACCACTAGAGCAAATGAATGAGGCAGCTATGTACTGCACTGGGGACACAAAAAAATCAGAGTTTGATTCTTGGTTTTGTCAGTCTTTTTCTCAGAATAACATAATTAATAGCAACCTGCTGTAGAGCCCATCCCCTATAAAAACGAGATAATCTGAAATGACAGAACTCATTTGTGTGCAGAGAAATAAAACTGACAAGAAGATTGCTCTAAGTTTTCCACATAGGATTGCCTTCTAGCAGACATTTTCTACTTTTTCCATGCTCCAGAAGGCATCAAAAATACAACAGAAAAATAACTATTTATGAATGTTGTTATTCCATACTAGTAGGATAATACAGGATTAACTAAAAGGACACTTTATCATGCTGGGAGGTTGGAAAGATAAACTAATTACAGTTTAAGCTAATTGTGGGTTCCTTGCCAAACATATTAAGCCATCACATTTATCACTTCAAGCAGCATCAACATTTCATCATTCAGATATCTGAATGCTAGGTTATATGCTGGATGCCACATACATATTAAGCAGTTCCTTCAGAACACAGGATTATATGAATAGTCTGTGCACTAAAAAGGAGGTTAGCACATGCAGGTACGTACAGCAGAAGCCCTTGTCTATTAACATTTCAGCACGGCACTGGAGCTCCAGCAATCATTGATTCACATGCTTGTTAATGCAAAGCTCCACCGAACTTAAGACCAGCTGCACACAAAGCTAACTGCACATTTGCGGACTTGGTGCCTTTCACTTTTTTGCTAGAAGCAAAGTTATTTTACATATCTGTCCTGGTTTCAGCTGGAATAGAGTTAATTTTCTTCCTAGTAGCTGGCTTAGTGCTGTGTTTTGGATTTAGTATGAGAATAATGTTGATAACACACTGATGTTTTCGTTGTTGCTAAATTAGTGTTTATACTAGTCAAGGACTTTTCAGCTTCTCATGCTCTGCCAGGTGCACAAGAAGCTGGGAGGGAGCTTTCCCACTATGCCGCTGCCAGTATAGAACACTATTTCGAGTGACAGAATCATGTAGGTCAGAATGAGCCATGGGAGGTCTCTAGCCCAACCCCCTGCTCAAAGCAGGTCAAATTAGAGCAGGTTGCTCAGGGCCATTTTTTTTTTTTTTCCCCCCAGGATCTGAAAATCTCCAGGGATTAATTCTGGCTGTTCCCACTTTCTCATTTTTCATGCACACAGAAACAACTTTTTGGAGTATTTGCTCCATAATCTTCCCAGGGAACGAGGTGAGACTGACCACCTGCCATTTCCCCAGATACTCCTTTCTGCTTTTTTTGAAGATTGGTACGATATTTGCCCTTTTCTAGTCATCAAGAACTTCCCCCAATTGCCATGACCCTTCAAAGCTGATGGGAGAGTGGCTTCATAATGACACCAGCTAGCTCTCTCAGCACTCTGGGATGCATTTTGTCTGGTCCCATGGACTTCTGCATGTCCAACTGGTCTGAGTACTCCCCAACTATATGTGTATGTGTATCATGGAAGAAAACTTATCCTGGAGGAAAGTTTATCTATTCCCTACAAATATATTTACTTTTTCCCCTCCATGATACCTATCCACCTTTCCCTTCAAGGGAAAAGAAACAGCTTAAGCCTTAAAACATAAGCTATTTCTTCCCCAAGCCGAGTTCCTGTTGGTTGGCTTTTTTGTTTGTTTTTTTTAAAATATTTTCCATGATACCTACCAATTGGTTTCTTAGTCACATAAACACATAAAGTTTACTTGAATTCTGCTTAGTCCTTATAATTTCAAAGATATATTTTAGGGGTGAACACCATGCATAAGCTCCTTAGTATGTACAAAAATATTTCCTCTTATAAAATATGAAGTTATTTCGTTTTCTTGAGTGGTTCCCTAGCTGTTTTACATGATAGGTAGCAACGAGTTCTCTGTCTTTATACTAGTCAACATTCAGCATACACAGGACAAGAGTAGAAGGACACTAAGATAAGCAGTTTCTGGGTTTTTTCCCTTTTCTCTTGATAGGAAGGGCCTCTTCCCCCTCCCCATAGAACAAATCAACCCACTTCTCTCAGTAAAGAAGTCCTACAGAAAAAATAGTTCAGATTTGCTTTTGTTTGTGCATCTCTGCATGCCTCCCCTACTTGAAAAGGTTCTGGGATTATATGAATCAGAAATAAAAGATGAAGGATTTGCAGCTGACTGATATGCCTGGCAAGCGGCAGAATAATACTGTGAGAAAACAACAGGGTGATTTCAGAGCCCACAACAGCACAAGCAACAGTGAAAAGTACATTCTACATAATCACAAGCTGCTGCAACTCCTTCACCATCTGATTAACAGTCCACCAGAACCAAGCAGTAGTGGGAGGGTATAAAACATAACTGGTTATCTTGGTACAGGGCTAGTCACCTTCACCAAGCCACTGAAAACACCTGAGGTCATACATTCCTGGTGACCTGTGTTCTCAAGCAAACAGAAGTATGTTACCAGGTTTCTGATATGAGAAATTCCTTCTTTAGTACTCAGTGTTCGTGGTTTGGGGAACTTATCTTCTCCCAAAAGATACTGGAAATACCACTGTAAACAGGACTCCTGTGTATTCAATACTCTGTGCTTCATTAAAGAAGTACCTATGCACCCCTGGTTGTTCTAGGTGCTCCTGTTGCTTTTTTCTATGGTAGATGGACTGAGACAACAGAATGGTGGCTATGTCTTTGCTGCCTTTTATTAATGACCTTCCTCGTCAAAAAGTGGTTAGTTCCAGCGAGAAACTTTCTAGAGCTGAGTGGAAACAGCCTTGCACAAGCATTATCTAAGCAACCCATGCATAGCTTTTGACCCACTATTTATTAGTTCCAAATAAAATAATTAAATCTGTAAACACTTCTTTAAAAAAATAAGATGCTTGGCCAGTCTGTATTTATCTGCATGATTCATTTTCTAATTTCCACATGAATTAAAACTGCCTTGCATGATGGGAACTAGTACAGTATATTCAAAGTATTCCTGAAAGCAAAATCCAGAAATATCCTCACCATTAAATCCAGTTTGTGATTAATTGCCAGCGCAGAGTGTTCCAGAGCCTTGAAAACAGATGCATAGCAATCACTTAGTTTTGTGTACTTGCCAACAAGAGCTATGGAACACACCTTCAGCAACCTTTCGTATCTGAAAACAAATTGTTCAGTTATTACACCAATTTTCACAAAGAAAACATTTTAACCATGTTTGCTTTTTCTTTAACTTCACAAACCATCTTTTAAAATCTCAAAACTGACAGTGTTTTTAAACCCCAACCATTCACAAGTGTTGACCCGCAGCATGCTACTGACCCCAGTCCAGTTTGGTAACTTCACAGCAGCTAAAAACCTAACTTGAATTAAAACACTTCCAGAGAAAGCAGCAGGAGTTGGAATACCTGTCAGCCATTTTCTTCCATTTCATTAGAAGATCACTTGGCTGGTCATCAATAGGTAAATTTAACCTCTGTTTAAAATACTTAATGATGCCTTGCTCCTCCAACAGGATTGGTACTCGATAAGTGGAAGAAACATCATGGATAAATATCACCTAACAAAAAAAAGCATAACATAAAAGACTTACCTAAAAATTTTTCATAGGAAATATACATTTTATTTTTTGTATACTACATGTGCTTTGTATTCTATGCACATTCTAATGTTTAAATACTTTTCTTTTGAATGTGCAGGGCAGCACAGCCAATATTTAAGGTTCCACTATATCTACAAGGAAAAAGCTACCCAAAAGGTAGAAGTGTGTTTCACTTCCTTCATCGCACCATCATACAAAAATAGCTTCCCAAGCTTTCATACAAACATCTGGCCCCACAAGCATGAATGCTCGCTAACACTTCTTTCTCCCTCTCTCACAAACTTGTATATTAACTGGGAAAGAAAGAACACAAATGGAACCTTACAAAACAGACCCAACTAGGTTGTGATAAAGTCTCCTAAAAGAATTTTGTTAGTGAATTAGGTTATGTTATTAATTCATGATTATAGTCCGTTCAAGGACCATTTAGTTAACACATTTATAAACCACGTCCAAGCTGCTGGCAGTTAAGTTCATCGCATTTGGCGTACAGGAGACCGTGGAGTTCACAGTCCTGAGCACAAGTGTTCTCTTCCCTGATACACATGAGAAGTAAAGGATACTCGCCTAGTTATCCTTGAGTTACTTCTGTTCATCATGTAAGTATACACACATGCATGCTGCCCCATGCCTCTCTGCGTGCCCATTCAACAGCAAAAATAATAGGGTAACCACAGCCCTCCTACAGTAGGAATAAGGCTTATCCAACTGTTCTTCCAAACTTGGCAGCTACCATCTTAAGGATTAACATGAAGAATCACTAGCTGCTCTAAGTTACAGCCATGCTGACTATGGAGACTGTTATAATCCTAAAACAAGCTGAAGACACTGCTTTTGTTTTGGTGGTACATGCCTTGAAGCAAGGAGGGAGGACTCACTTGATAAGAGCAAATTTTAAAAAAGAATCCACTTAGAGGATGGATGAAATAGCATATGGGCTTCATGGACTAGTTATGAGAGTCCTGGAAACCATTTCACACAAAAAGCACACAAAAGATAAGAAAATCATCAGGAGCAGTCAGCATGGATTCACCAAGGGGAGGTCACACTTGATCAACTTGATAAAATTCTGTGATGAAGTGACTGGCCTGGCAGATGAGAGGAGAGCAGTGGATATTGTCTACCTGGACTTCAGGAAGGCCTTTGGCACAGTCTCCCAAAAGATCCTCATAGACAACCTGTTCATGTACGGGCAGGATGAGCAGACAGTGAGGAAAACTGGTGGAATGGCTGGGCCCAGAGGGTGATCAGTGGCACAAAGTCTAGCTGAAAGCCAGTAACTAGCGGAGTACCCCAGGGGTCAGTACTGGGTCCAGTCTTATTTAACACCTTCATTAATGCTCTGGATGATGGGGCAGAGTGTACCTTCAGCAAGTTTTCAGATGACCCCAAAGTGGCAGGAGCAGCTGATATGCCAGAGGGTTGTGCTGCCATCCTGCCAACAGGCAGGAGAACTGGGCTGACAGGAACCTCATGAAGTTCAACAAGGGGAAGTGCAAACCCCTGCACCTAGGAAGGAACAACCCCAGGCACCAATATATGCTGGAGGCCACCCAGCTGGAAAGCAGCTTGGCAGAAAAGGACATGGGGGTCCTGGTGGACACCAAGTTGAACATGAGCCAACCAATAGTATCCTGGACTACATCAGGAGGTGATCCTTCCCCTCCTCTCAGCACTGGTGAGGCCACACCTGGAGTGCTGGGTCCAGTTCTGGGCTCCCCAGTGCAAGAGAGACGTGGACATACTAGAGAGACTCCAGCGAAGGGCCACGAAGGTGATGAAGGGACAGGAGCATCTCTCCTGTGAGGACAGGCTGAGAGAGCTGGGACTGTTCAGTCTGGAGAAGAGAAGGCTTGGAGGTGGGGGTGGAATATCTCATCAATGTACAGAAATACCCGAGAGAAGGGGACAAAGAAGATGGTGCCAGACTCTCTTCAGTGGTGCCCAGTGACAGGACAAGAGGCAATGAGCACAAACTGAAACACAGGCGGTTCCCTCTGAACATGAGGAAACACTTTTTCACTGTGAGGTTGCCCAGGGAGGTTGGGGGAGTCTCCATCCTTGGAGGTATTCAAAAGCTGCCGGAATAATGGTCCTGGGCAACTGGCTCTAGGTGGCCCTCCTTGAACAGGGGGGTTGGACCAGGTGATCTCCCTTCCAACCCCAACTATTCTACTGTGATTCTGCAACAGCAAATAAATTGGAAGGGCAGACTGAAAAGACTGATCCCCTTGAGATTGTAAAGCACTGTTCTAGATACAAAACAAACTGTAGCTTCTTCTCTACTGGCATTGCACATAGCTCCAGGAAGAAGACTGATGATGCATCTAATCCTTCAGCTCACAAGAAATCCAGGATCATTCTAGGGAATAAATAGACATGTGGCCTGTGTCTTCTGAAATCCAGAAGTGGTTCATTCATTTTAAGACATACAGGGGACTTAGGAATGGCTTTGCAGAATTCTGATGAATACAGTTATGAAAACAAAACAAAAAAAAAACCCCCAAAAAAAGGCTGCAAAACAGTATGGCACCTAGCAGCATCCCAGTTCAGTCCACTGGGCCTAACTGCCAGGCACACACCTATACTACACAATGCAGTGCTGTGGACAGACATTTGAGCTAGCCAGAACAGCACAAGAGTGCAGCATTCTGCCCGGGATCATATACTCAGCTTCTCATAAAAGCTGCGACTGGTACAACTATTGAGCTTCTACTCTAAAAGGCAGAACTTTGGGGAAAAAAAAAAAAACAAACCACTGCCATGAAGACAGCTCCCTCCCTACCAGGGAGCTCTTAAGGAAGTTCAGTTACACATGGGATTCTTGGTCCAGTTAGACTGGCATAATAACTGCAGTTGGAATCTGAGTATGTACATGCTTACACGTGGCCTGATACTGCTATAAAAGCACACACCATTGTTATTTGACTGAACTTCAGTTGTCTCTCTCCGGCTGGAGAGGAACCACAAAGGCATTTCTGAAGGATTTTCCAGAAGCTAGCTCAAGGGTGTTGTCTTCCACAAACAGTAAGATGGAAGCAAGGGGGGAAAGTAATGGCCACACTGCCCTCTATGTCCTCATCTGGAATCTTACTATAAAGAGCTTTTTCTTACACACCTGCAGAAAGAGACGTCAACACTGACACATATTTGAAATACAGCATAACTGTTGTCATCTATTATCCCTTTAATATCATCCATTACACTGAAGAGTAAAATGCTCTCATTTGCAAAAATATTAAAGAGCATTTGATTTATCAAAATTAATATTTGAATAGCAATTAATCACAGAAACTATTAAAGCCAAAATAACACATGAATTGTAAAAGGATATACAGCTATGCAGTAGATGTTCTAAGCATGTTAAAGGGCAGGAATAGCCTATTACATTTTATCACAGTAAGAGTGTTCATTTGGCTGTGATGATCTATGGACATAAGCAAAACCCCCAGCTTTAACCACACTTTGTTCATCCATTATTGTAACCACCTGAGATGATTTATGGACAATAACCAACCATAGCTAGCTTGAAACTGCAGTTTTCACAACTATGTATAGCAATTAACCATACACTCAAAATCTATTCCTTTTATTAATTTTTTACATAACATGCATTTAAATTGTTAATGACCGTTTGACAAAATTTAACATATAAACTCCTGATATTTTTTAAGTCTTATAGTGTACATGACAGCAAGATAAAAATTGTAAAAACAATTACATATTAATGAAACAGTCTGAAGTTGAAAACAGGAATGCTCAGAAATATTTGTATGCTTTCCCACATGTTTAAGCAATGATGAATAAAATATTAAAGTACTGACCTGCTCAGGCTCCACATGGCAAAACATGGAAATCTTTTCCTTCACTGCCATTTCTATAGGTTTTGCACTTCTGCAGACAATCTGTTATAACAGAAGGAGAAATCCTAAATATTTACTAGGCAAACCCATATAAGATCCTCAATATCATTCATGGAGAAATTAATCTCCTTTGGAAGTACAGCACAGACAAATGTGCCTTTTTATCTCTTCCCCTCTTTTGGAGTTCTACAATATATCATAGCTCACAAATATCTCCTAGCAAGGCAGAAGTACATCAGTCACCTGCCCATACTGACCCACTTTTATAAATCTTTCTTTGGCATTCTCTGTAATACTGCTTCCTCATGCTCTCCTCTACTGCAGTTACTATTGCAATACTCTTTACCTAAAGTCTAACAGCTCTGTAAGTATGAATAATATGATAAATCAAAAGAAATATTGTGATTTTATCAGCTAAATTTAGTATTTCAGTACTTCATCTTTTTGTAGTTCTTAATTTGCACATCATGATAAAAAGGAGGCGGCTGAAGATGAGAAAACTCTTTCATAATTTTGTGGGTTTTTTTCCTGGTGAAGTTATTCTGCTATTATTTTGCTGATACATGTAAAACTCAGGAATTTTAGAAAATACTGACGATTTTTACAAACAAAGACAATAAGCATATGTTTTGGTGTTTGTTGGAAGGGGGTTTTTTGCATTATGTAACTTCAGGCAACTAACTCAAAATGCAGAACTGCTCTCTCAGTGTGCCTATTGATTACTTAGTCTACTACCTTAAGTTACTTTGAATACGGGAAGTATAACAGAAGGTAGCATGATCCTGTTTAAAGATTAAGCCATTATTTTCTCCACCTTTCTAGCAAATGCAACAACTTAATGCATTAAGCCCTTTTTTGCAGCTGATCTTTGATCACCTTGCTAGAATGCAGCTTAGCTACACTAATATTGATGAAGTCTAATTAACTTCCCCTACCCTTGCAAGAAATTCTAGAAACAGAAAAACAATGCCAAGTACAAGGGAAAATTAGTGCAGACTCTAATAATAACAAAAAAAAAATCATGAAACAATTTGTACATTCTATTCCATTAAGCACAACTTACACTTAAAAACTGGGTACTGTTTGAAGACAATTCATAAACTTTGATAGTATGAGCACACGATTAGATCTGCTCTGAAATCTATCGTCCATCTTGCTGAGACAAATTTAAAGTTAATGGAGTCACAGAAATCAAAAACATCAGAATCAGCATGAAAATACAAAACGGTAACAACAGTGATGGAGATGCATCTCAAAGAAACGTAATACAAAGAAGATGAGGAACAATTCAATTGAATAGGGCAGCACTGACAAGCATATAATCAGTTTTCAAAATGCTGTAACAGAGTCCATTAAATCTGCAGATATAGTGCATCCATTAAGCGCTTAGAACACCCCACGGAGAACATAAAGGCTTCTGTACATACACAGCTGAGACTGGCCCAGCATGCCACCTCGGGGAAGCCTGAGACCTGAGAGCAAGGCAGCAGGTATTAATAACAGGTCTAGCCAAATTTAGATCAGGCATCCTGGCACCACAGCTTATGAAGGAAGCCCTCCTGACTGCTGTTCTAGGAGCTTCCCCACGTACTGTCTTGGCCTTGGGCCCCTGCCCAAGAGAGCAACCATTTACAGATTTTTCTTGAAGCAGTGCCCAAACAACTTTACAACAGTGCCAAGAGGCTTTGCAAGCAAAAGCAAAAAAGCAAAAGCAAAAAAGCAAAAGCAAAAAAGCAAAAGCAAAAAAGCAAAAGCACTGCACTTCCGGCAGTCCCAGAACTGCCTCAGGCAAGAACTCAAGATGTGAGAAAGTGACTGGATTAGTCTGTTTCCCTCTTATTACACACACACACTTAACAGGCTTTTAAAATTACTTGGTGGAGCCGGGAGGGAGGAGGGGGCGCAGGGGGCAGTGGGGGGAATGGGGAGGTCAGGCACTGGCAATTACCTTGAAGGCCTTCAAAAATGACACGCAACTTTCCATTTGCAATTAGCACCTCAAGATGGATTTTGAAATTTAGGTCCTGAAGCTTGGAATGTAGAGCAGGATTGCATTGATAAAAGTCTTTCCCTCCACAAGATGGTTACAGTTACCATGTCACAACAATTTGAAACTACCTAACACATCCTCTGCATATCCTATTTATAAAGCCACTGGTTTTGTAGTTATAAACATGCTTTTTGATAAATGTAAAATGCAAGAGTTAAAAAAAAAAATCAGAAAGCAGCACAACACGAAACTGAGTTGTGCGACTATCCTTTTAAGAATCATTTTTCCTTTTTGAGGATATAAATATCACACAGAAGCAGTGACTATTTTCACTACTCTTTAATTTCTGAGAAGGGCTAAGAAGCTTTTTCTCCCAGTGGACTTTATGGGAATGGAAAGCACTCAACAACTTCCAGAATCAAGTACAGAAAATATCCTCTGACTTAACAAGCAGCCTCACACAAAAGAGCAAAATTGTCCTTTTCTGCTCCTGAAGCAGACCTAGAAACGGTGTGTGTCTTCAGCTGCGCCAGCTGCAGCTCAGGAAGATAAGCCTAAGTTTGAACCAGGATTGCACTGGCATTTGAAGCTGCGCTGCCCTGGCTTCAGTGCTATCAACACTTGACCAAGCAGATTCACATCTCCAATGACAGACAGGTATCACAACAGGCAGCTGCAATCTACTTATATCTCCTCTCTGCTCCCAAGTGAAAATGCCAGAGAGGCAAACATTGCATCCAGGCAATAAGCACATACTCATTACTAGAGCACTGGGGAGAAAGAATGGAAGGAGTTGAGCATTTGTCATCATTTGCCAACTGGTATGAGGTGAAACTTGCTGGCTTTAGCTTCACTATACTGTGTGGTGCAAGAAGGGATTGAGAGCAGCCCTGAGGAGAAGGACTTGGGGGTACTGGTGGATGAAAAGCTGGACATGAGCTGGCAATGTGCGCTCACAGCCCAGAAAGCCAACCGTATCCTGGGCTGCATCAGAAGCAGCGTGGCCAGCAGGTCGAGGGAGGGGATCCTGCCCCTCTGCTCTGCTCTGGTGAGACCCCACCTGGGGTATTGCGTCCAGCTCTGGGGCCCTCAGCACAAGAAGGACACGGACCTGTTGGAGCGGGTCCAGAGGACGGCCACAAAAATGATCCGAGGGCTGGAGCACCTCTCCTACGAGGACATGCTGAGAGAGTTGGGGTTGTTCAGCCTGGAGAAGAGAAGGCTGCCAGGAGACCTGATTGCGGCCTTTCAGTACTTAAAGAGGGCTTATAAGAAAGACGGGGCAGACTTTTTAGCAGCGTCTGTCGCAACAGGACAAGGAATAATGGTTTTAAACTAAAAGAGGGTAGATTCAGACTAGATATAAGGAGGAAATTTTTTACAATGAGGGTGGTGAAACACTGGAACAGGTTGCCCAGAGAGGTGGTAGATGTCCCATCCCTGGAAACATTCAAGGTCAGGTTGGACGGATCCCTGCTCACTGCACGGGAGGTGGACTAGATGACCTCTAAAGGTCCCTTCCAACCCAAAATATTCTATGAAAGAAATTGCGGAACCTTATTTTGAAGGTTCACCCACTCGTTCTATATTTCCAAACAGGAATATTTTTAAAGGCTGTGCTTCAAAGGTAGGATTGCTGCTGCTCAATCATGCATAAAAAGAAGTTTGTGAGAGAATGTTAGAAGCCAGAAGCATTCTAGGTCTTCCCACAAAGTAAACTGAGACTTTAGATTATTTTTAGCAATGCAGAATGATTTTTCTGCAAAGATCCCCTTAGAAGAAGAATATAGCTACAGTCCCAAGACATTGCAAGGAGTTAGCTGAATTAAGTTAACTCAGAATCAATTTGAGTAATTTGATTTCCTGTGGCGGTAGCGAAACAGTGCAGCATATTGTTGCATTTCTTCTAAAATTCTTGCCTCTCATGGGAGACTAAGGTTTATTCTTTGAACACAGGTTATGCAAGGACACTTCTAGACTACCTATAAATAAAAATCAGTATTTATTGACTTACCAAATCTGGAGACAAGCCTAGACCCCTCAGTGCTCGAACACTGTTCTGTGTTGGTTTTGTCTTCTGTTCGCCAGTGGCATTAGGCTGGAAAGACATATTTTGAAAGCTCAAATAGCAGCTAACATCTACTAACAGAGCAGTTACATGTTAAAAGAGAAAAGCCAATGCAAGTAATAATACTTGCAGGAAGTAAACATATCCAAACAGAACCACAATATACCAGAAGCAGAAATGGTACCACTGTTATTACTTATATAAGAAATTCTGTGATGAAACCACATGGCCCTAATTCAGGTCCAGTTTATTTTGGTTTTTTTCTTTCAGAGAAGAAGTTTCAATATAATTGACTCAGGTAGAAGAAGAAGAATACTCCAAAAGTTGGATTTTGCTAATAAAAGGAGGATGTCCAACATAGCACAAAGCCTTCAGTGACTGTCGTTGGAAATAATCAGATGTGGTAAATAATTCTGTTCTAAAACACACAGAATCAATCCTACCAATTGCTGATCAATCCTCTAATCCATAGCTGCAGGGGTTAATAATTCTCTTTTTATGTGTACAAAGTGCAATCATATCATCATTAGGTTAATGGTTGGACTGGATGATCTTAAAGGTCTTTTCCAACCTAAACGATTCTATGATCATTACCAACCTTTGCTTATCAAAAATCTCCCCAGTGAATACTTACCTCTAATAAGAAAGCCTATTTATTAAGTCAAATTTCGAATGGAAAAATACTTTTAGCCCTGTATAAAAAGTTGTAGCAGTCTTGACTGGAAGACCATTGTACATCGAGGAGTTTGTGATCCAGATCAGAGTTCACCTGAGGAAGCCCAGGCCAGTGCTGCACAAATCCCTTGGCTGCAGGACAAACTCAGCCAGCTTGTTGTTAAGAGGAGCCCCCAGGCAGCTCCCACTCAGCACCCACAATTACATCACCTGCGTGGCCTTGCCTTTATCTAGGGATGTGGCAAGAAGTTCTCCTGAGAACAGCCTTTCTGTTTGACAGTAGAAATGATACAGCTGTTTCCTTGCAAGAAAATTATCTGTTAGCTCAAATGACCGAAAGGGAAGAATCCCTTCTACAGATGTTGTCTGCCAGCATGCTGAACATCAGAACCGTTCAATGCTACACCACCTAGGGTTCCTACCACCTAGAGGGATGTAAGGTCATTTATACCCTTCTGTCCTTATAGTGTTGTCTCTAACAAATAACATTTTAAAAGATACCTTAGAGAGTCTGAGTACCTTTCTTACCAGGTTCATAATGTACCAGCACCTTCCAGTGCAAAGCACAACTATATTTAGCCTTCTAGATAAACTAGTGTTGAAAAGGGTTTTTTTTCATAGCCTAGAACATTAAAACAGATTCTCACATCACTAATTATCAAGGCCTTTACCCCAATGTGGCTGCGTTTTATATCTCTGTCTCTAAAACCCTCCAGCATGAAAGGGTTAATGGGAGAAGTAAACAAATAGAAAGCCCAATACAGAGTGAAATCTATTTTATTAATTTTAATTACTTACCTGTGGTACTAGACTAACATGGATATTACAGAAGTTCTCTCTTTTTGCTTTGAACTGAAACTGTCTAAATGCTTCAACAAATGGCATTCCTTCAATATCTCCAATGGTTCCACCCAGCTGAAAAAGAAAGCTTGGATATGTCAGAGTGGCAGAAAGCAAAAACAAAAGGAAAAATAGAAAAGTCTACCTCTGACATACTCAACAAGTTTTCTGAAATTTTTATTTTAAAAAAAACCTGACAACTGAAATTTGCAAGCATATTCTGCAAAGAACCCTCATCTATTCTGTGCGTTTTGTTTCCTGTGGAAAACATAAAACAATTTTCCAGTTTTGTCACATTCACTTTACACCAAACACATATGCTTCCCATGGGAAAAATGTGTGGTGCTACTGAATAATACACACTTTCACACTGCCTTCAAAGCAGCGAAAAAGTAATCAATAGTTAAGCTGATGTGAAGGTTTTTGTACAGAAAAACTTTATTTTCCTGTCCGTCAGATTAATGAACAGTTGTGACCAACAAGATACAGACGTTTAGCGATATTATCATAGCTTTCCAACAACAATAAATGCCATATGGACAACATGAAATAGTATTTCACATTATAAAAGACTTTAAATATTTATTACCAAACCAAAACCCAAGACTAAATCCATGATAAAACTTACTTATAAAGACAGAAATTAGATGTCTTTCAAAGACACAAAGAGCTGTAGTAGACTAAGCACTGAATAAAGCAGCGTTTAGCACGTATTATGAAGTAGTTGTATTTCAGAATGATCTTTCTGTGCCACCAAGTGGCTTTTGACAGAATTACATGTTTGTGTTCATCCAGTACCACAAAAACTTCTGACAACTACATTTGTATGTGACACACATATTCAGTGTAACTCCTTCAGGATTTTGTCATGGAAAAACATTACCATAAAAAAAAAGTCCTGAAGAAAAATATTTTTATCAGGCTGGAGCTATAACAAAGAAAAAAACCATACATGGAGGAAACAGAAAATTACGCTTGATGTTAAAGAACTGACAAGCCCATCACTTATTAATGTTCTTGTGCAACTTCTGTATTTACTGTATTTACTGGTTTTACATTTGTTTGAAACAAAATGTTTGACTCTCACTGTGCACATCATAAAAAAGACCTACAGCTATATCAATAAGTGTATTTTAATCAAGGCAGATTCTTCTGCGGAAGAAGTACTGAGCAATTCTGTGACCTGGGTCACAAAGTTTATCACACTATTGATTACGGTGGTCACCTCTGGCAATACAACATATTCCTCTGTCAAATTCTCAGGTAAAATCTTTTCCCGTATTTTCTGCTGTAATAGTAATACTAGCAATTACTGACTGCTTTTCCTCCAGTTGTCTCAATGCCCTACTAAGAATGGGTAAAACTCGTTACTTCCATTGTGCGGAACATCAGCAGGTTAAGTGATTAACAAAGGTGTCTCCAAAGATCTTAAAAATAACACCAGAAAGTGGAAAAGTGATGTATACAGTGTTTAAACATATTCCTTTAAACATGACCATGAGCAACAAGATGGGCATTTGAAGCCATGGAAAGCTAAAATGTTATAGGTCCTCTGACTGACCATAGGAGATTTCAGGTATTACACAAGTTTTTTCAACACTATTAACAGTTTAAAGCTTCAGTCAAATGTCTGTATCTTGGAATAGATGCTTCACATTAATTTTAGAAATTACTAAACTCTTAAGCAGCTCAGTTTCAGGAGTATGCTAGAAGGGATTTAGTCAAGTAAATAGAAGCTGTAGGGATAAGACCATGCCTATCATTCTCAGAACAAATCAAAGAATATAAAACGTGTCTTTGCATTGCTGCTCTCCATAAAACTTCAGTCTGACCTTTTTACAGTAGGTAGCAAAGAGAAAGCGAGCTAGTTCTTTGTGGTCACTGCGGATATATATCCTAAAAAGTTCCATACTTGCCTCAATTACACAAATTTGTGGCTCTTTTCTGTCATCATCCACCGGAACTTTTGCCTGATTCATTACCCATTCCTGAACTGCATCAGTGATGTGCGGAACAACTACAAGACAAAGCCAAAGAAGGCAAGCGTATCTTACTTTAGGCCCATATACCAGTTTTTGCATGCAAAAGGAAAATGAGCAGAAAGTCAAAAGGAAACTACTAGCTCCTTTTTTTATCCTTCCTTTCCTTGAACCCAGAAGCCCAACATGACGGGACTATGCCCATATCTCTTGGGAAGGAGAAAGGAATAAGATGATGCAGCAATGAGCAGCTTGTTCTAGCTGATCACTCTTTTGTGATGACTGAATGGACTAGTATCCCACAGAATTAAAAATATCACCTTGAACAGTTTTTCCCAGGTAATCACCATGTCTTTCTTTATTAATGACATGCTGATATATCTTTCCAGTGGTAATGTTGTTATCTTTATAGAGACTGATGTCCAAAAATCTCTCATAATTTCCCAAATCTAAGTCAACTTCTCCACCATCATTCAATACAAAAACTTCACCTGAAAAAAGAAAGTGAAAACAGACAGAAAAGCAATAAAATAATCAGAAATTATTAAACAGACAACAGGAATACCACAAACTTATCTTAAAATTGAAGAAATGGGGTTTTTTAAATGACATATCACAATGACATATCAACAAAGCAAATGCTGCAACTCAATCTGCATTGTCATTCTGTGTGACTTAATATCCGAGTCATTACTTATACATTGAATGCCTATCCCTCATCCATGTATAGTTTTGCAAATAAATTTAAGTTACAGTGCCAAAATATTTAAGTGACCTAAAAATATTTAGCCAGAATTTCAACAGCATGCTACAATCCTTGATTGGAAGAAACCAATCTCTAGGAATTATAAATCAGCAACAAATTAAACGTTAATTTACACATGGCAGCCAAAAACTGTGCTTTTATAAGCATGAATTATTATGCATGTTCAAAGTGTTTCACTATAAATTCATGTTGTTTGGATCTTAATGATCAAGGCTTGAATCAGGAGTAAAGTTATGATGAACATAAATGCTTCTTGAAACATGACCACTGTTTCTTTTTCAGTTGTTTCATCTTGTCTATTTGGTTCACTATGTTCACAGCGAGGGTTATTTCTGACCCTGAAAAATCTAGTGAAAATATCCTTCAGGTTCAAACTTTTCTTAGACCTCTGAAGAGTCTCTAAATTCTGAATCTAGTCAACTTCTGAAGCAACTAAAGTTGCTAGATCTTGAGGTAAGGCTGGAAAATTCTTCAGAAAAAACACAGAATATTTTGCCATGACCCAATGAATCAACAGCTAAACAAATTACGGGACTAATGAACAAGAGAAAAAAAAAAAAAGAAGCAACCCCCCTGAAGGTATAGTGTGGACTACGGAAATATATATCCCACCAAGATACAACACTCCACTTCAATGAACAGTTTAACAAAAACACCACAATGTGTACAACAGAGTGGAAGATTTATGCCTGATCCTGTGAGGCTCTGAGTACCTCCTCTGTGCTAATTTGTAATTTAAGCCAACAGACACAGAGTGGAACCAACACGTCTCAGAAGCAGGCCTTGGAAGAATAAAAAAAATACATTACTTAAAATAAAACCCTCTTTAGTTAACTGGCAATCAGGAAATTAAAATCCTTTGACTCAATCATATTTCTGCCAAAATGTTAACAAAAGAGGCTTGCCATAGAATCACAGAATGCTTTGGGTTGGAAGGGACCTTTAGAGATCATCCAGCCCAGCCCCCCTGCAGTGAGCAGGGACAGCTTTAACCAGATCAGGGTGCTCAGAGCCCCGTCCAACCTAACCTGGAATGTTTCCAGGGATAGGGCCTCTACCACCTCTCTGGGCAACCCATTCCAGTGCTTGACCACCCTCATTGCAAAAAAATTTCTTTCTTATATCCAGTCTAAATCTATTCTTCTTTAGTTTAAAACCATTGTTCCTTGTCCTGTCACAACAGGCTTTGCTAAAAAGATTGCACCCTCATCCTTCCTATAGGCCCCCTTTAAGTACTGAAAGGCCGCAATCAGGTCTCCTGGCAGCCTTCTCTTCTCCAGGCTGAACAACCCCAACTCTCTCAGCCTGGCCTCGTAGGAGAGGTGCTCCAGCCCTCCGATCATTTTTGTGGCCCTATCACCATTCTGGCTTGTGTGAATTTCTACTTACTACACAGCAAGCCAGTGTTTCTTCACAAGCAGTAAGAAACTCTTAAGCAGAGAGGGGGGAGGAAATTGTGTGAGAATTACATGACATAGTATCCCCTCTCCCCTGTAACTGATCCAGGGGATGAATACATCCTCACAATCTCAAGTCATTGCAGGAGGCTTACCACCAAAAGTAAAGGCGTAACTTCCCAGGTCAACTGCCTAAGTAGCACCAGATGCACTTCTGAAAGTGCAGGACTACTGGATTAGTTAAATTTGGCTTTTTGAGAGAGTTCTGATGTGCTATGCTTTTACTCCACTTAAAAAGCAAAGTGGTCTTTTTTCAGTTCAGGAGATAAACATGTTTATCTCCAGTTCCAAAAATTTTGGTCTAGATTAAAAGCAAGCAGACAAAATCCAACAAATAAAAAGAATTAGAAATGTCTATTGGATGAAGGTACTCTGGAACTTTGAAAACCACTGTTTTCAGTGAATGTACAAGTAACAAGACAGACAGCTGAAGGAACATTCAAAATTATAAACATTCATCAGACTGTCTTGTAATTCATCAGCAATGTAGTCAATACAACCAACATAGCTTAGAGAATCAACTGACCAAACTAAGCATCTACTTTAAAATTATATCACTAGTTGGCTCTTTAAGCTTTACGGGTGGTTTTGACTAGATCCTCACTGTCTAAAATGGGAACTTAATCTAACTCTCATGAAGACACACTAGAGGCACTGACGACATCAAGGTAGCAGCATTCACAAGTAACTGTCGAGGAGTTAAGTTTCAAAGAAGTTTTATAGTACTGTTCCTTTTTTTTTTTTTTAATCAAGTTGAAATGAAGATAGCATTGACTGAACAAGACCTAGAGCTAGGATTTTGCCCACAAAGTGGTACTTTATAGGAAGGAAGCATCTATTCATAAAAGTATCTTCACCAAACAGGCTTCTCCTCTCTTTACTTAGAGCAGACAATGCCCTTGAGAACACGTAGTAAGGAACAAACTTGCATTGCCAAATAGTTATAAAATGACTAATAACTACCATACTATTGTTTTTCAAAAAAAAAAAAAAAAAACAACAAAAAAAAAAACCCCACCAAAACCCACCACATTACTGTGAATACAAATAGTTATGCAAAAGGGAACAGCACTGCCCCTCCTACCATGTTCATACGGTGAAAAAGTTCCAGCATCTATGTTTATGTAGGGATCAATTTTGATTGCAGTGACACGTAGACCACATGATTTCAGTATGGTGCCAATGCTGCTTGCAATGATCCCTTTGCCAATGCCTGAGATGACGCCACCAGTTACCAGGATGTACTTCATCGGAAAATCAGCACAAGCACACCGATCTCAAGCTGGAAATCTAAAACAACAAAGATGTACATCTGATGAATGCAAATTCATGCCAGGGAAGAACACAGCCTCGGTATGCAAAGAATGTAAGCTGAAACAACCTTCAGAAACAGAAAACAAAATCACCATTTTGCAGTCTGGGTGTAGGATTCATCTCTCCCAGATTATACACCAATATGTAAGCTAAGCGCCTAAGTCCACTCTGCAGTCAGTGGAATAACAGATACCATTTTGATATGCTGCCCTGTGGAGATGCCAGAGAGAGGCACAGTTCATCCGGCCTACTCCTCTCCTGTGGCAGGAAAAACCAACTAACTTTTAGAAGCACAAGTTAGGCAAGAAATATCTATTAAAATCAGAATGTTATACCATCCACTCCATTTTTCAGCAGCTTTCGCTTCTCCAACCCACAGTGTATCAAGTATTTCACCAAAAGTCTTACAATATCCTACAGATCAATAAAGCATGAGACCAGGAAAGAAAAACTGAACTAAAATGTGCATATTTATACTACAGTACATTACTGCTCCAGAACCGAGTCTGTTCTTCACACGCCTACCCATTCTCCCTCTCCAGCAAATTACCATGTGAGAAACAATCAGAAAAAGAATCGCCTAACATCTCTGGACTATGATCGAGAGTAAAAGTCAATGTTGTTCTAGAAAACAACATTGTATCTGTTTGAAGCTTCAGATTTAGAGAAACATCTGATGTTATGACACACACATTAGCATCACGAATTCAGAACAGCAGCCCTGGGTAGAGTAGCTCCGAGAACTATGGCGTGTGGCCCTCAGCATGGCCAACTTGTCAGAGTCTCTGCTTCCCTGTCTAGACGGTGAAATAAATGATTCTTCACAAGAAGGAACTGCAACTATGAGTACTCACAAACAGCATATCCTGAAGCCACAAACATGATCGTTAATGCATATTCTGGTGCTGAAGCCTTGATCAGATACAACATCATATTTCACCATGCTCTACAATACTACTAGCAGAAGCAACAACGGCTATTCAGATATAGCAACTCCTTCTCTTGAAAATTTCGTTGTTTGTAAGAAGCCTGGGTAATTAAAACTGAAAAAAAGGACCTGTTGTGAACTAAGAGATTCAAATATCATACTAGGCAAATAGTATGACTGGGGGAGCAGGGAATAATCTAATATATCTATGCCACCTTGCACTGTGTATGAGTATGAATGGTAAGGTATCCAGAACTATTAAAACAAGATGATGAGGAGACACTCTCACCCCCTAAAAAGTCTGATAATTACTATCCTAATTAACAATTCTTCATCACCCTTCTTGTTGCTGTAATCTGCTGTTCTCACCAACAGCTGTTGGTACGGTCCCTGCAATTCTCCTACTTCACCTGGCTTTCACACAAGCATAGATTCTGCCACCACTTCTCCACCCTATCTGAAACAGGATGATGTTGTGTGTATCTCATCCATAATTGCATTCACATCACATTCAGGCAGCTGCGGAGGCTAATCACTGGAACAATTTTTCAACAATGACAGCGTGGCTCGCCACAGAGCCTAGGGTCAGGAAAAATCTTTCCTTACTTATGTACCTAATTTGTTCAAAACAACATGCAACAGCACATGACCTAACAGCACTCAGGATAAATCAAAGCAGTATGGTTCTTCAAACACTAGTAGTAAGCAATAGCTAGTGGACGAACATTGTAGCTCCTCCTCTTACTATACTGAAATAACATAAATAAGGCCTGGATCTTCAGGAGGCAGAGTTCAAGAATGTAACGATGCTTGTTATCAATGCTCTTATAATTGATAATGGGAATTAATAAAACTATTATTTCCTTGTCAATATAGACAAAAGGAAGACCACAACCATCAAAAGTATTTAAATCGGGAGAAAAGGATCATCAGGAAATTGACTTTTCCCTGCTATTTAATTTTAACACGTAACTTTTTTTTTAACAGCATAGATTTTAAGATTTGGAGCCTACGTCTTCTGTCTCAGACTCTTCCTTCATAAATCAGCTCATGCAGTTGCCAACGTTAACATTTCATAATCACCTAAGCCATTTTCAAAGGTACTTCCAGAAAAAGAGGGGGGGGGGGCAAGAACATAATTCAACAGGTATAA